AGACTGAGTCTCATTCTGTTGCCCAGGCTGGAGTGCAGTGGCATGATTTCAGCTCACTGCAACCTCTACCTCCCGGGTTCAAATGATTCTCCTGCCTCAGCCTCCTAAGTAGCTGGGGTTACAGGGACACGCCATCACGCCTGGCTAATTTTTGTATTTTCAGTAGAGATGGGGTTTCACTATGTTGGCCAGGCTGGTCTCAAACCTTAAGTGATCCACCCGCCTCGGCTTCCCAAAGTGCTAGGATTATAGGTGTGAGCCAGCTCACCTGGTTTGTTCTTCAACATTTTTACGAGAATTAAAGTACAGTCCTATCCAGCATTTCTGATGGTTTTCAGTGTGATGACGGCACACTGGCCAGCCACGTTACCATGGTGGAACTTCCGCGCTTTCCTGGGTCTCTCGGTTCCCGATCCCACTGCTCCCACCGGAGGAGCACCTGAAGCTACCCATTCCTGAGCCTTTCACAGCTGTGTGGCAACGTCGGGTTTGTTCTCAGCTTCCCCTGCAGAGCGTCAGCCAGCGCCTCTGTCTGCAGGGACAGCCACCCTCATCCCTCCACCTCCCGCTTCTCTTTGCTCCTGTTTCTCCCACTGGCCCTTGCCCTGGTAGATTCATGTACTGAAAACAGTACATCTACCCCCTGTTGTTAGTGAGGACTCAGGAGAGATCAGAGGTGACTGCCTGTTGGAAGTGCTGTCTTTAACGGATGCTCAGTGTATGTGGTTTCGTGTGATCATCTGAAATGGAACTGTGTGTGCGCAAGGACACCTTCTATAAGACTGTCACCCACTGGGTGTCCAGCAAAATGAGGTCACGGAGGCCACAGGGAATTCATGAGCACCGAGCTGAATAGGTTTGGCCATTTTCTAAATATCTTCTGAAAACCCTGCCATTCAAAGACTAGCAAGTTAATCAGTTCCTTCAAGGGGAAAAATATTGTTGGAATTTTACAAGATGCCTTGAAATTCTGCCTCTCAGGACTTTAAAATGCAATTATTTCTTTGTAAGTTTAAAAAATTGCTGGCATTGATATATTAATAATTCATCCAAGAAACATTGCTAGGCACTGAAATATTTTTAGTGAATTATTCTGAAGCAATTGCTAAGTTAAGCAATGAAAAACAGCCCTCTACAATTTTACAGTTTTAGCATCTCATACATAATGTCAACATTTATGTACATTTCACCTGGAATTACTCATTTCAATGTGAAATAGTAATGCTAATTCCCAATGTAAAATGTCTGTCTCTATGATAGATATGTTGACTTGTAAGCCTTTTTTTTTTTTTTTTTTTTTTTTTTTTAACAACTTTAGAGTCAGGATCTTGCTCTGTCACCCAGGCTGGGCTGCAGTGGCACAATCACGGCTCATTGCAGCCTTGACCTCCTGGGCTCAAGTGATCCTCCCACCGCAGCGTACTGAATAGGTGGAACCACAGATACGCACCACCACGCCTGGCTACATTTTTTTACTTTTTTTTTTTTTTGAGACGGAGTCTGTCTCTGTCGCCCAGGCTGCTAAGATGCAGTGATGTGATCTCAGCTCACTGCAAGCTCCGCCTCCTGAGTTCACACCATTCTCCTGCCTCAACCTCCCCAGTAGTTGGAACCACAGGCGCCCGCCACCACACCGGGCTAATTTTTTGTATTTTTAATAGAGACGGGGTTTCACCATGTTAGCTAGGATGGTCTCAATCTCCTGACCTTGTGATCCACCCGCCTTGGCCTTCCGAAGTGCTGGGATTACAGGTGTGAGCCGCCGCCCCTGGGCACTTTTTTTTTTTTCTAGAGATGTAGGTCTTACTGTGTTTCCCAGGCTGATCTCAAACTCCTGGCTTCAAGAGAGCCTCCCAGCGCAGGCTCCCATGTTGCTGGGATTACAGGCATGAGCCACTGTGCCCCGCTGATTTGTAAGCATTTGACATTAGCTCTTTTGTATATTAATCATGGTACACGCATGATGTGATTAATAGGTGTTAAAACCAATCACATATTTAAGGTATAATAGAAAATAGACACTGTCTGGGCGCAATGGCTCATGCCTCTAATTCCAACACTTGAGAAGGCCAAGGCAGGTGGATCACTGGATCCCAAAAGTTTGAGACCAGCCTGGGCAACACGGCGAAACCCTGTCTCTACAGAAAATACAAAAATCAGCTGGGTGTGCTGGTGCGTGCCTGTAGTCCCAGCTCCTTGGGAGGTTGAAGCAGGAGGATCGGTTGAGCCCAGGAGTTCGAGGCTGCAGTGAGCTGTGATGGCACTACTGCACTCCAGCCTGGGCAACAGAGTCAAACCGTCTCAAAAAACTAAAATAAAGTTAGACATTAAATTTGATTCTCACCAGAAAAAATAAGTAAAGAGTTTGTGATTTTGTGATTTAAACATTGTTTCTTTTTTTCTGAGACAGTTAGAATGCAGTGGCACGATCTCAGCTCACTGCAGCCTCCACCTCCTGGGTTCAAGCAATTCTCCTGCCTCAGCCTCCCATGTAGCTGGGACTACAGGTGCCCGCCACCATACCTGGCTAGTTTTTGTATTTTTAGTAGATACGGGGTTTTACCATGTTGGCCAGGCTGGTCTCAAACTCCTGACCTCAAGGGATCCACCCACCTCAGCCTCCCAAAGTGCTGGGATTATAGACAGGAGCCTCTGCGCCCGGCCTGTTTCTTGAGTGAAATTATTTAGTTCCAACATATGGACACAGAAGATTCGGTACCAAGAGTTCCACACGAGCAAGCTCCTAACATCCCCAAAGTGATAACCAAAGTGTAATGATAATTTTGAAATTATTTAAGAATTGGTTTCGGTGCCAGATGTAGTGGCTCAAGCTTGTAATCCCAGCACTTTGGGATTGAGGTGGGCGAATTGTGGCTGAGACCAGGAGTTCAAGACTAGCCTGGGCAACAAAGAGAGACCCCCCCCCCCCAATCTCTACTACGAATTTAAAAATTACCTGGGCATGGTGGTATATGCATGTAGTCTTAGCTACTTGTGAAGCTGAGGCAGGAAGATTGCTCGAGCCCAGAAGTTTGAGGCTGCAGTGAACTATGATTGAGTCGCTGCACTACAGCCTGGGCAACAGAGTGAGACCCTGTCACAAAAGAAACAAGAAACTGCCCAACAGTATTTCCCAGTATCCCTTTACACTCCCACCAGCAACACAGGTGATGCCAGCCCCTCCACAGCCTTGCCAGTGCTTACTGTTGGCGTTCTGATCTCAGGCATTTTTTTTTTTGAGACGGAGTCTCGTTCTGTCGCCCAGGCTGGAGTGCAGTGGCGCGATCTCGGCTCACTGCAAGTTCTGCCTCCCAGGTTCACGCCATTCTCCTGCCTCAGCCTCCCGAGTAGCTGGGACCCCAGGCGCCCACCACCACGGCTGGCTAATTTTTTCTATTTTTTAGTAGAGACGGGGGTTTCACCGTGTTAGCCAGGATGGTCTCAATCTCCTGACCTTGTGATCCGCCCGCCTCGGCCTCCCAAAGTGCTGGGATTACAGGCGTGAGCCACTGCGCCCGGCCGATCTCAGGCGTTCTAATCAGTACGTAGTAGTATCTCATTATGGCTTGATTCGTATTTCCCTAAAGATGCTGATGTCACACGGAGTTTCACATGCATATTGGCCATTTGTATATCTCTTTTCTTATGGCTATTCCAAATCTTTTGACTTTTTTTTTTTTTCCTTGAGACAGATTCTTGCTCTTGTCCCCAGGCTGGAGTGCAGTGGCGCGATCTCAGCTCACTGCAACCTCTGCCTCCTGGGTTCAAGCGATTCTCCTGCCTCAGCCTCCCGAGTAGCTGGGATTGTAGGCACCTGCCACCACACCAGGCTAATTTTGTATTTAATTATTTTAATTTTGTATTTGCTGGTGGGAGTGTAAAGGGATACTATGGAATACTGTTGGGCAGTTTCTTTTTTCTTTTGTGACGGGGTCTTACTCTGTTGCCCAGGCTGGAGTGCAGTGGTGCAATCACAGCTCACCGTGGCCTCAGCATGTTGGCCGGGCTGGTCTGGAACTCCTGACCTCAGGTGATCCACCTGCCTCGGCCTCCCGAAGTGCTGGGATTACAGGCATGAGCCACCATGCCTGGCCTCTTTTGACTTTTTAAACTGGAGTTTGGACTTTATGTGGTTGATAGGAGCTCTTCGTGTGTTCCAGATGTAAGACCTGTGTCAGAAATGTGTGTGCTGCAAACATTTTTTCCTAATCTGTGGTTTATTTTCTTAATGTCTTCTTTAAGAGAAAGTGTTAATTCATCGTTTTTTTAATCTACGATTTTATTGATCTATATTTTGTGGTCATCTTTTGTAGCTGATTTCTGTCTCCCAGCATGGAGGATGACGGCAGCCTGCTCTCCGAGGACGGGCTTTTGGACAATGCCCCCCTTTTGGAAGATGGTAATAAAGCTTCTGTCACAGTAGCACAAGTTTCACCAACAAGAAAGACAAACGATATGCTTCGTAGTCACCCTTTAATTCCGTTTATTTGTGTGAGAGGGTATCTTTTACACTCACATTTTTCTCTCAAAGAGGGAGCTTATATTATTGTCTTTATTTGAAAGAAAGATAAATTGTGGCTGAGATGTTGAAGGCAGCAGACCGTAGTTTTCTAGTTTCCAACATCAGTATTGAGAAATCTGATGCCATTTTTATCCCAGTCCTTTGAATGTGACCTATTTTTGTTTTCTTTTCCTGGAAGCTTTTTTTAAAAAATCTCTGATGATCTGAAATTTTTCTGAGACGTGCGTTGATTTGGTTCTAGTTCTGGGCACAGGCAGGCCATCGCAATCTGCAAATGCATTTCCTTCCCACTCCCACCCCACTCCCCACCTCGTTTTGGGTTCTGTAGTGTGCTGAGTCAGCTGCCTGTCCCCTGGCGCTGGGTGGCCTTCTCCCCCCTGCCCTTCACCACCGTCTCCTTCTCCTGCCCCACTTGCAACTGTGGCTTTCTGCCTTTTCCGTCATTTTGACTGAGATTTAATGAAGGGAAGAAAAGCTGTGTTCCATTTGCCATGTTTTGCTAGAAGTCCACTGTAATCTTCCGAGAGAGTGACCTTCAGCCTCTTTTGTCTGCGAACCGCTTTACGTTCTTAAAAATTATTGAAGAGCCAGAGAGCATTTGTTTATGTTGCCTGTATCTTTCAGTACTTACTGTATCAAAAATTAAAGCCGAAACCATTTTAATACTTAGCCACTTAAAATAGCAATAACAAACCTATGGTGGTAACGTAAGAGTCCGGTTTAACAGAAGACAGCTGGCGTCTGAGAGCTGTCTGTTGTGACGTCACCTGTCACACGCAGCCTCTGGAAAACGCCACTGTCCTCTCATGCGAAGACAGTGAGGAGACAAATGTCGTGCGAGTGTGATCATGAAGACAGTTTTCACCTCGCAGGCCCTGAAAGACACTCAGGGACTCTCAGGGTTCCCTGGATTTTGCTTTGAGAACCATCAAGTTAGAGCTTGTCAAGATTTATCCTAAAACTGGCCAGGTGTGGTGGCCCACACCTGTCATCCCAGCACTTGGGGAGGCTGGGGTCAGGAGTTCAAGACCAGACTGGCCATGACGGGGAAAGCCTCTCTCTACTAAAATATAAAAGTTAGCCGGGTGTGGTGGGACACTCCTGTAGCCTCAGCTACTCGGGAGGCTGAGGTGGGAGGATCCCGTGAACCTGGGAGGCGAAGGCTTCGGAGAGCCAAGATCGCACCACCGCACTCCAGCCTGGGCGACAGAGACTCCGTGTCAGGTTCACAACTACGCCGAATGTCATGTTGAGGTCCAAAGGGAGTGGGTAGATGAGCGGAGGGAACCCTCGGGGGGCCGTAGGCAGGTGAAAAAGGATTTTATTCAGCAGCAGCTCTCACCAGTGGCTTTCTCTCACGCTGTCCGCCCTGTCCTGGCTGCTTAGTCCGGTGGCTCCCACACACACAGCTGCACGGCCGGCTCTCCCTTGACTTCAGGGTCAGCAACTTAACTCTTTCTCTGGGCACGAGCCAAGCGGTGCTGAGCCCGGGCTCCCTTACATCGGTCTGCAAAATGGACGTCCCTGACTCTCTCTCTCGGGGCGCCAGTGCCGCAATCCCACTGCGTCACCCAGGCTGTTTACCTCCGCCTGTGCCTGCTTGTCTGGTTCCTTACACTCTGTCCCAAAAAGAGAACAAGATTTATCCTAAAACTTCAGACACAAATGTTTGATCTACTTTTTTTTTTTTTTTTTTAACCTCTTGCCTTGATTTCTAGAAAGAGATGAATTAGAGGATCCGGAGTTTGACATCGGATGTCCTCTGCAGGAAGCTGAGGATGACATGGACCCAGGACACAGCAGGTAACTCAGAGGGTGGGGGGTGAAGGGAGCAGGGCGGCTGCCTCCTCCCTCCCACAGGCTGTAGCTCCCGCAGCTCCCTCCTGAAGCAGATCCGTCAGGCACCTACCCCGGCAGGCCACACCGAGGAATGAGTCCTGAGCCTGCGGCCAGGGTGGTGGTAGCTGGTGTCCTTTTCATTCTAAGCTCAGTGAAAGAACTAGATACTGATGCTGATAAATTGAAGAAGAAAACAGCTGAGGACAGAATGCAGGCGTTTCACCTGCGACAGAACCTGAGCGCCCTGGATAAGATGCATGAGGAGCAGGAGCTTTTCATTGAGAAGATGAGGTGAGCTGGGGCTGAGGCCACTGCACCTCCGCCTCTTGCCGCGCCCCGGGCCGTGACGCGGGTGCAGCAGGGGTGGTCCTGTGCCTGTCATCACCCTGAGGGCCTGCAAGGGAGGGTCCCACAGGGTCTCCATGGAGGAGCAGTTCTGCAAGCCCCACTCAAGAGCTGGTGCCCAGCACTCCCAGCCCCCTTCTCACAGAAAAGGCGGTAACAAGCGGTCCCGCCGCCCCCGACGCCAACCGGAGCTGCCAACTGTCAACCTTTCACTGTAGCTTCTTTCTCTGTGTTTGTGTGTGTGTGCATTTTATATCTACGGGTTTTTTTGCTAAATTATTTTAAAGCAAATTACAGACGTGATACTTCATTCCTAAATATTTCAGTGTCTCCTAAAAAATAAAAGCATTCAGCTGAGAGTGGTGGCGCACGCCTGTGGTCCCAGTTACTTGGGAGGCTGAGGCCAGAGGATCGCTTGAGCCCAGGAGGTCAAGGCTGCAGCAAGCCTGGGCGACAGGGAAAGACCCTGTCTCTAAAAATAAAAAAACTAAAAGATAAATGTTCTTCTGCATAACTTGGTCACCTAACCTGGGTACTTCGCCCAGGGAAACTACAGTTTCCCTCCTCGGCTCCTGCAGCGCCTGTGTGTCTTCCAAGTGACCTTCATGGCCGGCGCGGTGGCTCAGCCTGGAATCCCAGCACTTCGGGAGGCCGAGGCGGGTGGATCACCTGAGGTCAGGAGTTTGAGACCAGCCTGGCAAACATGGTGAAACCCCATCTCTACTAAAAATACAAAAATTAGCCGGGCGTGGTGGCGCATGCCTGTAATCCCAGCTACTTGGGACGCTGAGACAAGAGTATCACTTGAACCTGGGAGGCAGAGGTTGTAGTGAGCCGAGATCCCGCCACTGCACTCAGCCTGGGTGACAAGCAAGGCTCTGTCTCGGGGGGGGGAAAAAAAAAGTGACCTCCAGAGCTCATGCTCTGGGCTTTGCTCCACTGTATGTACCTGAGGCCAGAGTTGCCCCCAGGAGCTACCATGTGAACCGGATTCCGACCCAGTCCATGCCCCGCTGGTGATCTGGGCCTGCCTGGCCCACGCTCTGGAAGATGGTGGAGGAGCTCCAGCTCGTCCCCTCCCGTGGGCCCCAGACCTCCCACCACGTGCCCTTCACAGGCAGGAGCACGCTTGTTTATGCAGACTCAGGTTCCCTCCCGCTCCTGCACTGTCCTCGGCCCCAAGAGCATGTCACCTTCGGGTGGGAGCCACACAGTTGCCCCTGGGCAGAGTTTTCCAAAAATGGACGACAGGACCCTGCTTGTGTGACTGGAAGGTGTTAGAGAGACCCCTGACCTGGGCGAGGGGGGCTCTGGGGGTCTGACTCTGCCTCACCTGGCCCCACTGCCACTTTGGAGGCTGGAGTTTCAGGGAACCATCATCTGACCCTTGCTTCCCTGTTCCAGAGGGGAGCTGCGCGCCTGTCGGCAGAGGCAGGACCTGATCAGCAAGCAGCAGGAGGCTGTGGCAGCCGAGATCGCCACAGAGGGAGAGGCGGGCAACATGTAGGTGGCCCTCGACAGAGGGCAGGGAATTGGGCATGAGGTCAGAGCAGAGGCTCATTCGTTCACCCACAATGGGGCGTGAAGCACCTGCTGCGTTCAGGCCAGTGAGAAGCCCCAGTGTGAGGCCACAACACACACACAGAAGCACGTGAGGTCGGCAAAGCTGGGGCCTGGAGGGCGCCAGGGCTGGATCTCTGGGAGGCAGGACTGTGTGGATCAGCAGTTGGGGGAAGGCCCCTCGGGCCACTCTTGCCTGGGGCAGAGTGGCGGGGCAGCTGAGGGCGGGGTGAGAGGTGAGAGGCCCACATGGGTCCCACACTGCCAGGTGGGAGGGCCCGTGGACGCTGGAAACGCCAACACTCACCGACAGGCACTCCCAGAGCTGGCTCCACGGCTGCCGCTCCAGCCTCGCCTCACCCTCCGGGGACCGGGTGCCTGCAGGGCCTGCCGAGGTCAGCCCAGCCCTGGGAAGGCCCCAGCAGGTGCCCGTCCTGGAGGTGCTGGTGCAGCCGTGGGGAGCAGAGGGCCAGCAGCCAGGGGCAAGGGAACCAGCAGGTCCTCCCGGCCCTGGAGGGTGAGGGGCTTCTGGTCACTGTGGGCTGAGGGGGCCTGAGGGTCAAGGAGCAGACGGAGCTGCCCAGGTCTCTGCGGGGTTTTGACCTGCCTCATTCCTGGACCGTGGCACCCAGGATCTAGGGGTGACCACTGTACCTGGCCAGCTGCTCAAAGCCCACCCCTTGCATCCACACAGCCGGGACCTCCGGCCAGCATCACGCTGTGCCGCTCTCGTGGGCAACTGCCCACTGCCGGGGAAGTGGTCTCCAGGAGCGCGGCTGGGCTGGTGCTGGATGTGCACTGTGTGGATGATGCCCAGGAGGGGAGCAGGAGGGAGGGAGGGGACTCAGGGCGCCCCAACACCAGGGCCTGGGGCTTGTCACATGTGCTGGGTCCTTCCCAGGCCAGAGGCCTGGACGTCTGCTGCCCCCAGGGGCTTCATGCAGAGGCGACTGAGGGTCCAGGGCAGGCTCCCCAAGCCCTCACTCCTCCTGGGGCTGTGCCATGTGGGCACTGCCTGCCTAGCAGAAAGTGGGCATGTGGAGAGCCTGCCACCAGCCCCACACTCCACCAGCTAGGTAGCCCAGCACCAAGATTTCCCTCCTGAGGGAGAGGAGGCCAGGGGGTGCCAGGTGAACCTGGGTGGCCCCTGGGTGACTGAGGCCTGACACACGCCCGGCCTGTGCCTTCGCCCCTGCAGGGCCACTGTGGGCCGTCTCCAGGCCGTGTCCAGACGCCTGTTTATGGAGCTGGAGAACGAGAGAGACCTGCAGTCGAGGACTGAGGCCGTGCTGAAGGAGAGCGAGTGAGTCAGTGTGGACTGGCAGCGGGGCCTTCCCACCTGGGGGTGGAGAGCAAGATCTGGGGGGTTGCACCTGACCGGGAAACTGCCGGGAAGTGGAAAGGGGACTCGGCGAATGCAGTGCAGTGGTTGGAAGGATCAGTCTTCACGTCGCCTTTTTCCGTTTCTCTGGGTTTGTTTATGTTCCTAGGAACTCCAATATCAGGTTATTTTTCCTCTTTCCTCGTTTCTCATGCTTTGCGCTTCCACAGAACAGCGAGCTGGGTTTTCAGAACCCAGGAGAGAGACGCTGCCTCGTCCTAAATGCTTTCCTGTGGAGCTGGGTTGGATGCGTCGAGTTGCCTCTGGCAAGTTTGGCAAGAAGGGGTTTGGGAAGGTGCACGAATTGCTCAGAGCGACTGAAGGGACACTGAGCTGGCCTCAAGTAGGACTCCCGAACCACATGGCCCCCAGCCCCGGGAGCTGCAGCCAGGTCCATGGCGTCCACAGCACTGACCCTGCACGTGCCCAGGATGACCTAAGCTTTCCAGCCTGCGCAGGGCAGGGGGCACAGAGAGGGCTGAGCGCGGGCCTCAGGCCACCCCGCCCACAGGAGTGCTCATGCCACCGGCCCTTGTGCGACCTAACATCTCGGCCCCACCCCAGTGAAGACACCACTGGGCTTTGACCCAGTCTCTGACCC